AAAAATAAAAAGTTTTGAAAATTTTGTGCATCCTTTGTTACCTTTTTTCACTCAATTGTATTTATCAGGCTAACTTTTTTTTTTTTTTTAATTTTGGGGTGCTTAAATGACGCTATTATAATCATTAATTTTAAATTATTTGTCATCTTTATTTTTTTTTTGTTATCGACGATACCATATTTAATAAAACAAATTTGGCCAATTACAACATCTTTGATATATTCAGAGTCATGGATTCAGAAAATACAGACGTCTGCATCCAAATGCATAGCCTACTAGACTACTATATGTGTAAGGATCTTATTACATTAATACACCTATAATACGTAACGACTGTTGACTTCTCATCACATTCAGTCAGTCGAATAGAAATTTAGGAGAATCTTCAAATCAGCATTATATATTTAAGTGTACAGTAATTTCAAATATTTATTTACTGATTTCAAAATTTGCGGAAGGACGACGCTATTATGTCAACTTTCACTTAAACTGACACGTGCATGGCTTGACTACGCCACCTAATATCCTAGTAATAATAATTCCTAGAAATTTGCGCCAATAATGCGTACTACTTTAGAAGTAAGTAATTTTGGTCCAGAATTTGTCTAAATATTTAGACAACTTGTATTATTTGACGATACGTGTTTAGATCTGCTTACATAAATATTTTGATTAGTAACTTTAGAAAAATCTAGGATACCTTTTTTGCAACAAGTATCAAATACATAAAAATTTCCATAAGTATAGGTACACGAAGTTTTTTGGATTTCTACGGATAAATTTATATATGAAACTGCTACTAGACGTAAGTTTTTTGTAATATTTCATAAAAATAACGAGTTCAAAGCATGTTACCTTCAAGTAAACATTTTCTTGGCTGTAAAACAGTTGTGACACGCAGAAGCAATTCAATTTTTGTATTCATATTGTAAACTGCCTAGAAACAAAAATACTTTTACTCTCTATTTGTAAGTGTCATTCATCAAGTTTTAATTCGGCTAGGTAAAAAAATGATTTCAAGGCTTCGTTACCAGCTGATCCAAGCATTTTTCTCGATACACGCATGTATAGGAAACACAATTATGAGGAAGGAAGAAGAAAAAGTGGTCTCTCGTGAAACAGTTGGTTCATCCAAATTTAATTTTTTTAAAAGGTAAATCACCGGCACGTGCAACGAATGCCTTCCTCTCTTACAGGCGCTGCAAAAAGGTCAAGCATCATGTTTATTTGCCGAGTCTCGTTTCTTTTTTTTTTCTCTTTCATTTTGATCCATATGTCCACGCAAACGAAGTTATATGGCGATTTTAGTGAGGACTGAGACCGAAGGAATCGATTTATCGCCGGGATTTTTTGTCACGAGTCATCGTCACTGAGGATGGGTTTCTTTAGAATTTCACACCAAGTTTCTCCAGTTGACGTCAAATGGAAGTTTCAGCGATACTCACGCTTTGGTACTTACGCGCTTGAAACTATGTTTAGCGCAAGCATTGAGGCGACTGTTTATAGTGCATCGTATATATTGTTGTCCCAATGTTGCGTAACATTTCTGTCCGATTCGAAATCCAATAAGCCTCAGAAGAAAGATAATTTATTCCATAAATATTTAACAATCACATTCAACAGGCAAGTAAGGATTGCATGAGATAGATTTTGATTCACTATAATTAAACTATTACCATACTATTACTTACTTAAGAAAATCGCGTAATACGCATGTCATTTACGTTTATTTTATACTCAATTCTAATTTTAACAAATGTTATGATACGAAAAAAACTAACGTAATCCCATGCAGCATCGGATGTATAATTATCACAACATATTTAAGATTTGAAAAAATTTTTGTCCATGACGTCAAAAACGAACTAATGTTCTTATTTATCCACTATTCGATGAAGCTTTAGCGTTAGACATAACTAAATACATGCAGAAAAGCCGAACTCTACTGGAACCGATAAAGTAAATTCACTTGAAAAGTTTTTTGTCATTCTAGAAAACTTGAAGATAAACTTTTGGATAATCAAGACAAAAAAAAGACAAAATGAGTGAAATAAGTATCTGAATGTAATATTGGAAAAACCTACATTATATTTTAATAATTGATGGTGATAAAAAAACTGATGGGTGAAAGTATACAGCAGTTTAAGTTAAGGTAGAGGAACGTTCTTATACTTGCGAAATATCCTGTTTCATGATAATGTTTAACCATACAATAATCGTTTTATTATACTAATCGCATCTACTGTTGTCATAATATTAAGAAATAACCCATCGTCTAGACAGGAATATTTTCTTTCCACGCTACTAGCACAAGAAAATTTTTTTTCCACGCGCAATACGTCATTAAAACTCATATTGTCCAAAATAGTCTTCTCCACCACCAATGATGCAATAAATCAATGGCCTCGTAAGACCATTATTGCTTACACAAACGTGTAGTTTTGTCAAAGAAATTTCGTAAACA